GATTAGTTTCTTTTAAATATATAGAATGTTATTCAAATCAATTGATTGATGTGTATAATCGATAGATAACATATTCACTTTCTTTCTGCAACCCTCCTTTTTCTTTTACTTTTTCTTCTGTTTCTCTCTCTCTCTCTCTTTCTCTCTCCCATACGAACGTATGTCTGTATGTGTTTATGTGTGCATGAGTTCCATTGAGCGGTTGTCTCTACCTCTCCCTTTCTCTCTCTTTACCTGTCTTCGTCAACCTTATAGATATTCAATACACGCTATTTAAAAAAAAACAACTTAAAAGAAATTATATTGAATTTGACTAGATAGGGGCCTTGATATAAAAAAATGCTTCAAAATCAATAATATTATAGAGCAACTTTTTAACTCTCAAATTTAAAACATAGATGGCGTAATAATCAGTAAAGCGTCATCTATGTTAAAAAAGTGTTTAGCTAAAATATTTTCTACCAATTATTTATCCATTATATATAAAATATTAGATAGTTTAAAGGTCATTACATTAATAAGTAAAACATCTAAACAATTCGAAAGATAAATACAGAAAAAAACTGATATTCAAATAGAAAATATATAGTTCACCTGTAAAATAAATAAAAAAGTCTTGTAAATTGTTATTAGATCTTGTTTTCTCTTTGTTTCTGGGATTGTTGTTTGTTTTCTTTTTTTATATGAAATAAAAAGATTCCTTTTATAATCAATTAATATTTAAATTAAAAGTTTTATTTGAAGCAACAACAGAAAAACGCCGTGTCTTTTTTTTTTTTTTTTATTTCTTAGTTTTTTTTTTAAAAAAAAATCTCTAGTAAAACATAGGAGAAGTTAACTTTAAAAGTAAATATAATAAGGGTTAGAGAAATTGAAAATGCATAAATAAACGAGATTTTAATCAGACAATTTTATGGAATGAATACGATATCGAATGGATCAAGTTTCAGTAAAATTTTTTAAATTATACATATAATAAAATGTATAGTAATCAATCTCTTTTTTCTCTCCCTCTCTCTCTCTCTCTACGAATAGCCTTCTCCCTATTCATTTTCGGAATATTTAATGTCTATAAACTTTACTTTTATTAAATATTAGTGAAGAATTAAGTGCATCACATGTATCATGGGGGTTCTCGATTTTTTGTTCTTGTTGAAAGGAACGAGTTGGTGACATGTTTTCCCTCTTTCTATTACTTTTTGATTTTTGAAGATTTAGTGTCTTGTGCCTACGTGATCGAAAGATATATCAGTGTGTACCGTTCGATCAAAAGATAATAGTATTGAATTTATTGAAAGTTATGCAAGGATATCTTCTTATACAGCATATTGTATATAATGTATTTTGTATACGCTAATAGGGGAAAAGTTATATAGAGAACTTTGAAACTCTTCTAAAATTACTCTTTGTTTTTTTTATTGTAGGAGAAACAAAGAAATGCACCGAAAAAGAGAAGCAGGGAGGAGGAAGGAAAGAAGATTAGAACAAAAGATTATCAATACTTCAATTGTTTTGTTAATTTAATAAAATATTTAATAAAAAAGTCTTTAAACTGGGAAATATCTATACGTTTGTTTAAACAAATACGAAGATAAGGCGAAATGATCAATTATTGAATTACGCCAAATACAGTTCAATAATCCATAAAGATTCTGGGAAAAGCTTAATGTAATGTAAATAAACAGAAAGTAAATAGAATGATTTTTGTCTTAGTTCTGTATATAAATAAGATGTGTAGAGTATATGCAGTATATATATATACTATACAGGATACTTGTTCTGTTAACATCGTTAAACAAAAGAAAGCTAAAAGTATTTAATATAAGAGAATATTAATATAAATAAAGAAGTAAATATATAAAGCGCAATTCTAAAGAATGCTAATAATTTAGGTAAAACTATTAAACAGGTGATAAAACAGTTAAAAACACATATAAAAAAAAATATTAATAAAGTGCTTTTACCTTTTTTATATGAATTATGATTGATAGAAAAATCCAACCTATCTTGTATTTCTATATTATACTTTATTACTGTTTCTATAATTATATTAATATACTTAGATATATATATATATATATATATATATATATATATATATATATATATTGTACAATAGGCATAATCTATTTCACTATTTTTACCGGTTTTTGCTTATATAATCAAGTTTTTTACAGTATACTTGCTAATAAAAATGTAATAAAGAGAAGAATCTCAATATATAAATGTTAGAATTGTAGAAAAAGGTTACTTTGGAATGTTGTGGTGATAGATGAGCTACAGAAATACTTATTTCGCAACCGAATACGGAGGCACTTTAGTTTTCATATGTTCTAAAGTTGTAATATATTTCCATCAACATTTGACCTAGTTGAGAAATGATTTGATATTCCAGTAGAGGGGGGTCGGGAGGAGTTTTTTTTTCTTCTTACATTCTTTCTCTATAATGGCATTTAATAAATTCTTTCTTATCGATTAAGTTAATTTTTGAAATTAAGATATATGCATCTTTCACTTTTATCCTATAACGTTATATAATATCTAGAATAGCCAATTGGGAGAATTTTCTCTTTGTCTTATCTTCTAAAAATAGCAAATAGGCCGAAAAATGATTGTCAAAATGTTTAAGAAAAAATAAGACTCTTTTTGGAATAACAACATTTGAAAATGTTCGAAAATTATTGTCCATCAGCTATATAATTGAATAGAAAGAATCATATGATTTTACTGAACAATCCTATTAGGCCTATTTATTTTATATACAACCGTAGTCATGTGAAAATATGATTTATGTATTTTTTACTTTATAGAGAAAAAGTTATGTACATGCAATAGTATATAGTACACATCCCTATTGTCCATTCCTATATACGGTAATGCCATCTGACGCTATATTGTGAAAGCAAATCTTATTGGCGATACTATGCTAGTTGTCTCTGTCTTCAGACAAGTGTCTTGCTAACCAGAACGTTTACAAATAATACAAATAGAAATACGGAAGGATAAGAAGACAAAGAAAAGATAAAGATAAAGTTAAGGAGAAAAGTAGGAAAAGTTAATATAATCGACGAGAAGAGTTGAGGAAGAGAGAGGGAGGGAGAGAAGGAGAAACGAAGTTAAAATGTGTTTGTTTGAAAAATTAAACCTTTAACTATTACATCATAGTAATTATAATTAAGAAAAAGTAAAATTAAACAGAGACTTCAAGTTGACTTTATGATTTGTTGATAGAACGCTATTTATACGATTTTTCAACAATAATTTATTAACAAAGTGAAGAGTAATTTGTTTTGTCTTATTTCCTTTGAAGTAATCGTGTTTAAGATATTGAACTGTATTTGGCGTGCTAATCCCTTATCATTTTTCTTTTTTTACCCCTAATCAAACTCTTCTTTATCAAACCACCTATGAATTTAAAAGCCAATAGTTGAAACAATGCTCAGTCTTCCATAAATACTTTCAATTACGCCACAATGACGCTATTCTCGTCACACCAACTTGTAGATACCAGGCAACGCTAAAGGCGAAATTGTAAAAACGTCATAACTCTATGCTTCATAATTTCGTGGGCGTCACAATTCACGTAGATAAGACGTTTAATCGTCATTAAGGTGGTTTCCTTTCTATTTAGTCTTTTTTTTTATATTAATTATTCCCAAATCACTTTTTTTCTGTTTTTGTTGTTGTTGTTGATGGTGTTGTTATTGTGGAAACTTTATTTGTTTTTATGCCATAAATGAGAGGAAGGGAAAAGGAGAGAGAGAGAGAGAGAGAGAGAGAGAGACAATGACAGACAAAGAAAGAAGAAAAAGAATGCAGAAAGAAAATGAGTAAACGAATGTATGAATGGATGAATGAATAAATGAGTAAGAGAATAGATAAGTGGAAAGAAAAGAGATATATTACTATTTATGTAGAATAGGAATAGAGATGAAGTTTTATCGTTGCTTGCATCCTAATGATAATTCCATCAAACTAGTAACGAGCAGTGATTTTTCGCTCCCCTTCCCTTCACGTTCCCTGTTTCGGTTATTAAGAAATTTACTACCTCTATCATTATTAATACGTAAAAAATTGTTTGTATTAAGGTAAGATGTAATAACGAATTGCCTGGTTGTATCGATAAGGTATGATTAAAAGTTGGCGTCAAGGTTATTTATTATAGTTTATATACGTTCAAAGTTTTTATCTTGTTTTTTTTTTCTTTTTTACCAGTTTTGCAGGCGTAACTAGGAAATATAAAGGGTTTTACGGTTGAATTTCGATATGGTTAAGAACATAAATCAATGATTCGTTAAGAGTACGAATAGATCAGATTTTTGCACTTGTCTTATAAATTTCCTACTGTTAGAAAAGATTTATTTGTTTTAATGAAACACTAAAAATGTGTCTTCTAATATCAGAAACAGATGGAAATTTCTTCGAGAAGTGACCATTAATCGGTTACTGATTTATTGAAAGAATATAAAGAAAAACTCAAATATAAGATAAAGAGATGTATCAATAGAAATTGATAGTGATTAGTCTACTTAAGTAATTACTAACCTGGATAACTCGGTACGACTGGCACTTGACAAACAAGATATTTTTGGTCTTTTTTTCTCTTCTCCTTTTATCTCTTTTATTAAAATTAATGAAGATTTTCTTATATAAAATATTTTGTTTCTTAACATCTTTTAGACGCTATTTTTTTATCTAATTGATAAAACTAATGAATTATTCACTGATTAGAAAAAAGATACTAGATAGGCCTAAGGGAATATGTCAAATTCTGAATGATTTATTGAAAAAGAAATTTGCAGTCCGCGCATAAAAGTATCAATTATATTTTTTGATAAAAATAAAAAAGAACTGTTAATATATATGTATAGAGAGAAGAAAGGAACGAAATGAGTGTTAATTTAAGGATTTTCTACAGTTTTTCTCTCTTTTTTTGTCTAATTTATGCTTTTGAATAAAAAGTGACGTTTTCTCTATTAAAGGGTAGACAAATTACATCAAAGGAAAGCGTCTATATCTATATATTAACATATATTTATAGATATATTTAAGGATAAATACAATTCATGCTAGAGTATACAGTTAGCCATCTTACTTTGTTTGTCAGTGCGAAGGAAATTATTCGAGCTATGTAATTTTTCCAAGTCTTTTCCTACGTATTTCTTTTACAGAGATTAATAACGCAAAGTTTGGTTTGTAAAGAATTAAGTTGACAGTTTTACGGTTGTTACTTTTCAAGTATATATTATTTAATAATAGAAAAGACAAGAAAGAACGATATTTTTAATAAGTATTTACAAAGAGAGTGGGTGATTAGTTTTATTAGTTCATCTTTTAACGTTTGTCATAGTGTTTATGGATATCTTTTTCATATTTGCATATATTACATATATATATATATATATAGATTACACATTTACATCTAACATATAATATATATGTATTATATAAATAAAATGGTTATAAATTTGCAATTGCATACATTTGGAAATCGGGACCAGTCTGATGTAGGCGGAGCTTAGGGGCGTCTCTCTCCTTGGAAAAGTTGACAGTTTTAGTTCGTCTGCCGCGGTTAACAGGTGAGAATAGTTTGTCAGAATTAATAATTTTACAATTTAACTAAATCAATCTCCTATTAACTTGTACCCATATGTAGTTATTTACACTAAATCTTCATTTCATTGATAAGATGTTGAAGTAGCCAACTCAGTCGTCAAGTAGAATTTTATAAATAATCTTTTACGGTAGGAATGAGCTTAAGCCTTGAAAAAATATATCCTAAGACAGAAATCCATATAAAAACAACGCCTGTCTTTTTTTGAAATGTAACCGTAATCTCTTGAAATTCTATTTGTTAACAAGACTGCAATCGTGACTGCAAAATCTAAGGGTTTTGAATTAAATGGCCCTTTTAGCGCACCACCTGCACTATTTTGCCAGAGGGATCTTGGAAATTTCCTTTTTGGGATGTGGTACTGCATAAACGTTTCTTTCATTATTATTGAAGAGGTAAGAGAAGGAGGAAAGAAAGTAAACTGTTTTCCTCCCTTACTTCGGCTTCTCTTAAATCCATTAGAAGAGTCTTTTCCTAGAAATAAAAAAAAAACACGAGACAAAATTATTTGTGTAGAGAAAGAGAAAAGGTGAAGAAGAAGAAGCAGAAGAAGAATAAGAAGAAGAGAGAGAGAGAAGCAGAGAGAAAAGGAAAGAAACACTTAATATATGTTCTTAATTTAGAAAGTACAGTTTTATAAACTGTTCGAGTTTACTTAGATATTTCGATAGAACTTCATTATTTTTAAGAGAAAAATCTATATAGAATACAAAAAAATACAATAAAAACAACTTAATGTACAAAAGAATTCAGTGAAGCAATAGGAGAAATTCCTGTATTACTTTTAAGCTTAATTTCTAATATTTTGATAAAATAAAAAAAGTGAGGAGTTGTAAAAACTCTTATAAAATTTATTATGTTATCTTTCAAAAGGTTGTCTTTTCTCATAGATACAAAGTAATGTGTTTTGAGTAAGATGATCTATTCCTAGGCCGCAAGATACGTAACTTAAGAAAATTTTTGCTAACTTTTGCAATTTTATACTTCTGACTCTTTCCTTTCAAGAGGTGAAAACGAAAGGATTCATCCTCTTGAGTTTCCATAAAAGGAGAAGAGTGTTGTTCTGGTCTTAAACCCTTTTTTCTTTGCCTATTTTTTACACATTCCCTTTAATTTTTAATCATTTTTATTTAATAGATTCTTTCTTTTTATTATGATAATCAAGTTTGTCTAGCACTTGTAAAATTTGATAAGGATGGAGGAAAGAAAGTTAGAGGGAAGAGTCTCATACATATTCCATCCTCTCTACCTTTTTATTCTGAAATTGGTAAAATGAAGTGAAAGGGGAGAATTTCAACTTAAAATTAAACATTATATACATATTGTTTCGTTTTTATTATATCTTAATAAAAAAAGATAGAGAGTGTCTTTAATATCTAATAGAGATTCTTATGGGGATATTTTGACACCTCGTTAAGATAAAGCCAAAGGCGTTGACATTACAGAAGCAAAATAAATCGCCTAATTCTTTATCTCAACAGTATAACGTAAAAATAAGTTTTAGAAAAGTAGGAAGGAGGCAAACAAAGCATGTATGAATAAAGTATGAATAAAGAGGAATTAAAGAGTCCCTTCACTTTCATACATATACTGTATATTGATAATAAAGTACATTATATGATCCATCACTCTCTTTTCCTTTTATCAACAGTAGTTAAAATATATAATTTACAAATTTTATAAATTGGATATATATTAAGATTTTCCTTTTTTTGTGACTTTTTCTTTATTTTTCTAGATAAAAGAACCATGAAAAGTCTAGCAGTAATTTGCAGTTTGTCAGTCCTATTTGTTGTTGTTTTGAGGTTAGTATACAATTACATATTTACAAACTACAAACTAGTTAAATATATATAAAATGTATATATACCTATATTAATTAGATACAGTCTACTTGTATGTACTTTTATAAAGAAATTTAATATAGAAAACAAGGCCTTATTCTTAATATAAAATATCTTTTATACTTTTTAAACAAAATAAAGTTAATCGTTAACTATGTTATTGATATATCGTCATTTCTTCCTTCCTCTTTTCCTTCGTCTTGTTAATATTTAGTTGAATATTGACAAAATGTCAATAATATGAAACACCAATTTTAGGGTATTATTGCGAAACGTTTTGATAAATGAATGACAAAAATTCGTGACGGATGTTGTGCAAGTGTCTCTTGAAGTTTTCTTAACGAGAAACGTGCAAAAACTCATCCTCTCCCTCTCCCTAAAGTCATTTCAAAGATGTTTATTCCATGTTGTCAATCAGTTGAAGGTCCTTGTATAGTACTCTTTAATTGTTTTATCGCCATGGTAAATTCTAGTTCAACCTTTTCCTCCTCCACATTTGCTCTAAAACCAACCCTTTCCTTAATTAGAAGAAACTAATTAACCTCTTCCGTGTCGAATTTCGCACATTTTTTAATCATTTCACCCGGATGAATGTTTTAAGGCAATTTAGATTTAGGCACTACTAATATTCTGAATATATATAAAAAAGGGCTATGGTTAATTATTCTGTAGAAACCTTAAGAGTGGCCGTTAATGAAGTAGACGCCTATTACTTTGCTAATTTAAAATTAACTGGTCTATATAGACAAAATATTTCCATATTTTTCATGATATATGCATTTTTAACTATTAAAATTAGGAAATAAGGAAACAATGAAAATGTTAAGTGTATAAAAAAATCCATACAATTAGCCTATTCTTCTTATTCGTTCTTTTTTCTTCATTTATCTCTCTATCTTTCCCTTTATAAACATTTAACTATCTTTTATTTTTTTTCATTTTTATATAAGCTTTCTCTTTATACTTTTTTACTAAAATAAGATATTTATACGGACAATAGACATATGAGAAATTACCATCAATCGCTTCATACAACTGGATAAAACCAGATGCAATCATTTTGCTGATTGACTAGTTGGGAAGAAAAAGTAATCAGTGACTGATCTTTTCCTTTTACTAAATTTACTACTGGAGGGATTTTTTACATTTACCATCCAGATCTATATGCTTTTTTCTTATTATATTTACTTTACTTACGTTTCTTTTCGCTTAAATATGAATTCTATTTAGATTATACGCTCTTTGTATAAGATAAACGGAAATTATGTCTTAAGACACCCACTCGATTATCGCTAGTTTAATAGAAATATATAAGACGGTTAGTCAATAAGGGAATAGGAAAAAATTATCATTCAATAATGTTCAATACGGTAAAGAACGATATTTTCCAACAGTGAAGATACAGAAAAGAGGATGATCGATTCGATTGGATCTTCGCTACTCAAAAAGAGAATGATTGACCCAATCGGTTCGACTTTGTTGAAGAAACGAATGATAGACACAATCGGTTCATCGTTGCTTAAGAAGAGAATGATCGATACCATTGGTTCGAGTCTCTTAAAAAAACGGATGATCGACACCATAGGATCGTCTCTTTTAAAGAAAAGATATTTGGATTCCATTGGTTCTGGATTGCTTAAAAGACAGCTAGATAGAATATCTGATTCCATCTTTAAGAAAGATGAACATGAAAGACAATTGGATTTCGTTCCTGACGGTCACATTCAGTTTGAAGGTTAAACTATTCTCCTTAATTGAATTTTAAAGGAATTGAAACTAAACAAAAAAAACAAAATTAATTTTATTGGTGTCAAAGTTAAAAAAATGAATAAATTATTTTAGTGTTCAATAGATGAATATTCATAACGCTGGTTCACTGGAGAACAAAAGTAATATTTAATAAAAAATATATATATATATATATGCATATTAATGAATATAAATGAATATATTATATTCAAATATACATCATCATTATTATTATTAATATAATACTGTATATACAGTATATACTGTATATATACTCTATGTATATTTATATATTGAACAACAAGAGAAATAGAAAGGACCAGAAATTTTTTGTTTATTAAATAAAAGTTGTAGTTGTAAAATTTTGAATTATTAGAAATTAATAAGATGGACAATAACTAAATAGACAAAATCTTTAAATCTTAACCATATCTTCGTCTCTTTCTTCCTCTTCTTTTACATTTTCCTTTACTTCTCTAATTGTAAAGATTGTTGTGACCCAATTTCTGACTTTTTCCTTCTTTTTTAATTGCAGCCTTATACCAGTCATATTGGTTTAATAATGTAAAGTATACTTTTTGATACACCCATACATTATACGATTAAAATTGTTTAATACCTTACAACTAGCTGAACTATTAAAACCAAAGGGTACTAGAGGGGTGGGGAGGGGTGGGAAAGAAAAAGTAACTCTCTATTCTATACACTTCATTCTGTTTTTATGGATAACTTAACAGTCTAAAGTATAATCACGTTTAATTAATTTAAAAGAAATTAATTGTAAGGAAATTTACATAATTCTTAGTATCATTTGAATTAATTTCCTATTTATTATTAAGTTAATTTTCTAACCGCTGAATGAAAAAAAAGCATATTTCTCTCTATTTTATATATATATTTTTACTTTTCAACCTTATATATCATTAAGACAACAAAAAAATACTCTTTACCTTATTTTTAGACGGAAAGTACGTCACGCGAAAATTTGAACATGGCGACGCTTTAGGCATTGCAATCATCAGCTAATTGATGCACATTTTTCAGGTGCGCTTGACGAAGAATTAGACAGATTATATTGTACCTATTGGCGTTTAAGCAGCTACATTTTGCAAACACCTAGGATGGGAAATCATCAATACTTTATCTTGCTAATTTTTCCTTATATTCTCTTCTACAATTTCACACTATAGTATTTGCTTTAATATATTTTTTAAACTAAAATATTTCAAAAGGATGACTGCTTGGGTACAACCTATTTAATATATTTTTCATATCATTTGGCCAATTTATCCACGGAATGAAACTATAATGACACATATATGTTTTTTTAATTCTTCTCTATGCTATCTTCTTCTTTATTTTCTTTGTCCTCTGTATGGTCTTCCTTCTTTATCTTTATCTCTCTCTCTCTCAGTTTTTGTATTATTAGTGTTTATTTATTAAAATTAATTCTTTACTACAATATTTCTCATTCATTTAAAGTGTTAAATTTTTAGTTAAATTAAGGAGAGCGTACTTTGAAGAGGATGAGGATCAATCACGCCTTCTTATTGTTATCAAAATATTTCCGGTTCACTTTTTTCATTTACTTCTTTTAAGCGGAAGAGTATCTGTAAAAACTTTGTAATAAAAAAAAGAGAGGAAATCTGCAAAAATAATTCTTCCAGTTACGCTGCAAAGAAGTATAATTTTGCTGTAGTCTTTCCCATTTTTAACGGACGCCTATCTTTTCTTTTTCTATTTAGAGAACGTAAAAAAAAAGAAGGAATACAAACAAACGCATAAAGATATAGAAATTTATTGGCAACTGCAAAAAAAAAGAAAAAGTCTTCATCTTTGCGAAATTAGCTTTTTGTGCTATTTTTTTTAAAAGAAAAAAGAGAGTAACAGCCGTGAACTTAAGTTTAAGCCTATTTGAAGAAACATATAAAAGGATAATTATCTAAAATACTTTACATCTCGACTGTCTCCATAGAACAGTATATAATAATATGTTAGCATATCGAATTTTACGCTTTAACTCTTTAATTTATTGACTTTTCTTTTGTCAAATAGAAAACCTTGATAAACTTATTATTAATGAATATAATAAAGATTAATTCCTATTAAAAATAATATATAGATATTTGTATATAGAGAGAAAGAGAGGAAGGGAGAAAGAGAACGAGAGAGAGAGGGAGAGAAGGAAATAGGGAAGCCGGAGTTGATACATAATTTATATTTTTTAAGTTGCTTTTTATTTAGAAGGGAATTTATCAATTTCTTTAATGAAAAGATTGTCAATTCTAATTGTTGACTCTATAGATAATTCTTCCATTTTGCGGTTGAGTATACCTGTAATTTGAGACGTCACCATCGTTTAGAGAAACCGATCTAACTACTTCTATCTATTATAGTTTTGATAAGATAGAAAAGATAAAAATTATAAAAATAATAATGTTTCATAATTTATGTCGATTACCACTTGTCCAGATATTTCGATCGACTTTGCGAAGATTGTCCAAAGAACGATTTCAGAACAAACTGGAGTTGTCAAACTACCGTAATAACGGTAATAAGTTGCTCCATTAAATTTAAATCAATTTAATTTAAATGGCTCTGTTGGCACTTTATCACCAATGCCGGTAACTTTAGGTAAAATTTTCAACAGCATCTTCTCGAATTTATTGAACGAGGAAACGTTCTTGTATTTAGCCTATAGGAGATGATAATACAGTATATGTTTTTTTCAATAGAGACAACAACAATGATTTTAATGAAAAGAAATATTACTTACCACCTTAAATCTGAAAGAAAACACAGCTAAAGAATCTTCATTTATTGTCCTATTATCCCCTCTATTTGCTACAACATGCATCTAGATGTTTGAAAAGGTATAATAATAATAATGAATGTAATGAAGAATATTTTTTTTCTTCTTTTCTTGATAGTCTTACTTCTAATTCTGATGCGACATTATTAACTAGAAGCTCGGAACCTTCGCCATCTTTATTAGACCAATGGAAATGGAATTGAGATATGTAGTAGGTTGATTTTAAACCATCACCATCAATTCTTATATTATTTATATCGTGGGCTGAGATTTGAACTGTAACAAATAATTAAATTGAGTTACATATTTATTAACTAATCTATTATCAATATTGACCTGTATGGCCGTTATTTGCAGCTATTCCACCATTAATAAAATCATTAAATCCTCTAAGATAAAATGGTTTGTTATCTTTATCAATAGTTCGACTGGTGTCAATATTAATGGGAGATTGTTTAATCCCGGTTGAACATATTTCAGACCAATCAGCTCCTTGAAAGGTAATTCAAGGCAATAAAAAACTTATAGCTTTAATTATTAAATAAAAGCTTACAAACCATGAAACTCGTAATTGTACAAAGAAGCTTAAGAATATCATAAAACGATTATAATTAATTTTAAATGTTTGTAACTAAGATTTGAAACCTGTAATTCGTTTTGTTGTTACTAGAAACAGAATACATAGAATATTCAACATTACAACAGTTAAGCTGTCGAAGAAAGAGAGAGTGCGAGTGGGTGAGTGAGTGAGTAAGAGAGAGAGAGAGAGAGAGAGAGAGAGAGAGAGAGAAAGTAACAACAACAACAATTTTCAACGTGTTACTCATCAAATAAAAAACTATTCTTTTGTAATAAAAAAAAGAAACAAAAGCAAAAAATCGAATATAAAAGAAAAGATAAAAAAGAGAAAGAAAAAGTAAGTTTTTTAAGTAAAACTATAAAAGAAAGTGTAATATAAAGGATTATGTTGTTAAGGTTTATTTATTTACATATAAAAAGAAATACATTCTACGTTAAACCAGTCTTCTTAATTCCCTATAGTTTTAAAAAAAGTAAATAAATAAAAATATCCGGTCAATACATGCTACTTCTTCCTTCAAAACAGTCTATGGAACGCGTCAATGGGTCTCTAATGACCTTGTTTAGGGTTAGCTAGCGAACAACCCGACAAACGAGCGTAGGGTCAGAGTAAGGTTGAAAATTCCCTCATCTCCTTAAATAGATATTTGGCTTGGCAATTGATTGAAGGAATAGCCTCGTAGTGTAGGAATTAAATCTACTTTTAACAATGTGTCATTTTTTGTGAGTGGCTGATTAAAAGTTGTAAGAGTGTTTGTAATTATACCTTTTATACATAATAAATGAAATGGGAAGAAGAGAGAGAAAAGAAGATAGTTTTCTTATGAGTTGTATTTATTTCGTTTTTAAATATGTCTATGTATTTTAATATTCCATAAAGTCAATTTTAGCGTCTCTCTCTCTCTTCCTCTCCCTCTCCCACTCCCTCCCTCTCTCTCTGATCATACAGACATAACAGTCTAGTAGATTTTTTTGTGCTTCCATTCTCTTTCCCTTTCGAGATATACAATACCTTTTTAAATTAACTTTACAGCTGCAATTTCTACCGCAACTATTACAGATAAATTTTGACGATAAACTAAAATTTATCTCTCATAATTGTTCGGTACAGAAGAGTCGCACGCAAGAGAAAATTACATATATATATATATATATATATGATATTCTCTACGAAATTTAGCCTGCTATATTTAAGAGAAAGTTTGCCTGCTCCATTTTATATCTATTCAACAAGCAGTGTATTCAATATCTATTTAAAATTATTTATAAATATATGGAAAATAAATATTTGAATGACAATAATTCGAAAATAGATATATTCATAATTGATATTTCAATGTGTTCTTCTTAATCATTTAATTACTTATAAGATTGATAGGTAATTCTTTAATGTTTAGTTAATAATTAATTTTAAAGAACACACGCACGCATATATGTATACATGTTTGTATGTATAATTTTATGTTTGTACATTCATTCATGTACTGCAAACTTGTAGAAACTTTTACTATATTAGAGGAGAGATATTTTTTATATCCGACAGATGGAGGAGTTTGTGAACTAAAAGGAAAAGTAAATTATTTTAATATACTATTGTGTTTACTTACTGAAAAGAGAAAAAAAAGGAAAAGTTTCTTTAATTTAATCTATACAAAATGGTTTATACGAAAATAAAACAATCAATTTGTATGAATTCTATGCTTTTGTTAAAATAGACAGCCATATTACTACATAAATAAGGGAAATAAAGGAAATAGAAAGAAATACTTCTTACTCTTTTATTTTTGATGTTAAATAAAAAATTTATTAGTTCAGAAAAGGAAACAAATAGAGAGAAAGAGATAGCGGCAGAAAATCAAAAAAGAACCATAAAATGAAATAAATAGACAAATTAAGAAGATTTAAGAAATATAAAGCAGCCTAAGGAAGAAGAAAAGTAAACATTCAAAGTTCTCTTCCTACATCAAAAACTTTTATATATCAAAGTTTAGTAGTGTTTATTTTTAGTTAAATTCTCTTATTGGAGCGTAAAGATTGAAGGAAAAAATTTAATTGAATGAAAGAAATCTACTCTACATCTTCTCTTGTGTATTTTTCAATATTTTCAACAAATAATCAAAGAGTACTCAATAATATCGCTTATCTTACATTTATATAGCTATATTCGATGAAGCAGAATAAGATGTATAGATAGATAGATGAATGGATAAATAGATCTCTTTTCTTTATCTTTACGATTGCTAAATGAGTGACGATGATAAAGTTTATAAATTTTCCCAATAGTAGAAAGTCGATATGTTTTTCTATGCTATATTCTATCTAGATCGAATGGGAAAACCCAACACAAAAGTCGTTGCCCGCTTACTTTATTGCATTTCCTCTAAAAATGACAGCAAATTAGGCTCAAATATTCCTTAAGGATAACATAAGAGTTGATATCATTGAAAATATTCAAGAAAGGAGAAATCTTTCAGCAAATTCATTACAGGTTTATAAAGAGATAAAATAGGGAAAAATGGATAAAAAGAAATATATGAAATGAAAACATCTAGTGACATCTAGTAGCCGAAAGATACTTACGTAACTTGATTATGGAATGTTGCCTTCTCCATTAGGATGGAAGAGAAAAAGTTGTCTCCAGAGGGAGATGGGCACCAGAAAATTATATATGTTGCATATACTGGTTATATATATATATATATATAACATTTTAATGTAAGTTCATGGAAGAAAGCGATGTTTGTGTCTTTGCATCAAACAATTTAACTATGGAATGGATAACTGGCATTATATAGCAATACATTTTAATCTCTTAGTATATGTATTCTTTATTACCAGTTTATGTTATTAAAAATATTGTTAATTGTTCATGAACGTTGAATGAAGAAAATCATTACAAATATATGGTAAATACAGTATGTTATATGAATTATAGATAAGGAATGCTGTATTCGTATTTATTAAGTTATGCCTCGCCTGTGTAGTTTCTTCGTATCTGCTTTAAACTTTAGGCAAAACTACTGTAAGGAAACAGTTATCGATGCAGTATTTTAGTTGAAAATGCTAGACAGGTGGGACTTTTTCTTCATCGGAAAGAAAATACAAAATATACACTGTATGTTAATATATAGACATATACTTGTAGATATATTTTCTGAACATGTTAACTGTACTTATCTAAGAAAGGGATAAAGGAAAAAAATTGTTTTTCATTGTTTTTTTAAAGAAAAAAAGTTAAATCTTTTGTTTTCTCTTTCTTTTCAATTTCTTTAAAGTTCTATTTTTATAGCAAAGAATCCTATTGTTATTTGTCGCCTATAACAATCCATTTTAACCTCATTCTACTTATTTAATTGATATTTGTCGTATTGTGCTGCCATCTACGTTATGCAAACAGTTTAATGTTATTAGAAGGAATTTGAAAGCCAGTACAAAAAGAGAAAAAGGGGAAGATTTATAATAAAAAAAGAAGATAAAATTCATAACCATTTCTTCTATTTGAAGAGAAAAATAGGATTAATTTTGACTTATGAATTAAATATTCATTTTTTTCTTTATAAGTAAAAATTGCATTCTAAAAATGAAAGAGAAAAATTAGAGAGAAAATCTGAATAAATATTAATTGAATGGAATCACAAGATTTTTGAATAAGAAGAAGAAGTTGGGGAAAAAAGCGTTAACTTTATCATCGTAAATTTTTCATCTATCAGTCCATTATAAAAGTCAAAATTGAGATTATATCCGAAAAGAAAGTCACATTTGCCGTAATCAATCATTATTAATAGACGGTTAACGAGTTGATAGTCACATTTTAGTCTACAAAAGAATTTATAAGACCGTTTCCTCCTCCCCCTCCTACTCCTCCTCCAATTCCATTTATCATATATATGGCCGAAAAAACAACATAGCAGTGACGTATACAGTCACTTCTCCTTAAGGTAAAAATTTTTTATTGCCAATTGGTCCTGATTTACTAAAGAATGTCGATTCATTTTTTTCTCTCCAGCACTTTTCACATCGATCGTAAAATAATTCTAAACAATTAAGATGCTCAGTAAATGGTAAATTCAGAAAGGGACGCTTGCAAAAGTGTATATATTTATATATACGGTATACACAATGTATACTTTAGGTATGCTCTCTCTCTCTCTCTCTGTCTCTCTCTCTCTCTCTCTCTCTCTCTGTATGCATATACAGTATTTACAAATATATAGACTACAAGATATTTTTGTATTATTCTTGATAGATAGAAAAGATGATTACATAATAGGAAATCTACTACAGAAGAAGAAGAAGAAGAAGAAGAAGAAGAAGAAGAAGAAGAAGGAGAAGGAATTTTTGTCATGCTTATATTTTTCTATAATCTAATTTAAGCTATTGCTCTATATAAAATAAAATTGGAAAAAATTGCCTACATACCCTCTTGTTTTCATCAAAGAACATAGTTATTTCATTAAAAACTGAGGAATTATGCCAATAGCTAATTGTATAAAACTTCTATGAGTTGGTAAGATATTTTATTCATCTTAGTTTATATGTATTAAATGATAGATAGAACGCTATCATCTCAAGAATTATTCCTTGAACAATCTCCGTAATTATAATTTTAGGGTAAGGAATAACGAGAAAAGGCAACTGCAGTAATAACTTTCTAAAGAATTTTACAGATTATACAAGAAAAAGGCAAATTTTAAGTAGGAATACTTAAATGTATATTAGGGTTATCTGGAACAGTCAGGACAATTGGAGGTATATTAAAGAGAGAATCATTAAATAACAAAAACGAATGAATAAAAGCCACACCTGATCATCAGGCAAATTTAGAAAAAGAAAACTCTGCAGTAAACAACTCAATTTTCTCTCTAGATTAAACTAAACTCTTTCTTAATAGCTCAGATGGCTTGTCCTACAATTGGCAGGACTTCTAATAGGAGAAAGTAATTTTATGATAATATTATGAAGTAGAGATGAGGTTTTTGTATAAAAGAGAAACTATGAAGAAATTAAGGTAGAAGACTGACGCTGATATCTTAGAAAATTATTTTATTTTTCAAGATGAAAACTTTATTTCAGTGCAAATTAAAGCAGCAATGACATAGGGATTTAGAGACAAGATTGTCTCTTAAGACTAAAATAACCTTATTCTGGACTTGTCAGTATCCTCCCTAGTTTTTAATATAACTGTTTTATACCTTGTATATCAACGAAGGGAGGCGAATGTGAACTTTCAAATTTGATTTAGCTAACTGCTATTATATAAAGTGTAAACTAAGGAAAAACAAGAGAATAATTGATAAATACACTTTGATTAAAGGCAACTTGCAAGTTCATGCTATTTATATATTTATATATATAGTAAATAGATATATGTATAATCACGTTCGTATGTATATGCAAAGCATAAATTAATTAATTTATTAATTAATTTTCAATGATATTATCATAATGAAACTTTACAGATAGTTATATTCAATTTTATAAGCGGCAAATTTTTTTTAAAGATTGGAAACGTCTTTCTTTTCTTTTTTCCTGTCAAAAAAGGCCAAATGAAGGGTGCAAATCAAAAAGAAGTTGCACATAGTGAACGAGAGAAGCTCGATATTATTTATAAAAAGAATGCCAAGTATACAAATTAGTACAAAAGCTACTTATACAATATAATATATACAGTTATAATGCAGGAAAAAGAGAGATTTTTGGAACAGCAGAATAAAATGGCAGAAAAAATTTAAGTATATATAGATATACTTTTACTGGACATATAATATAAACTGTATATGTATGTACAGTATTCTGAATAAATGCAATATATACATTGTATACATGGAAAAACACGAATTCTTCTTATAGTAAATTCGTATACATATACATATATATATATATATATATATATAGATATATAGATATATACAATATGTATATATACAATATATACAATATGTATATATACAATATATACAATGTATATATACAATATATATATATATATATATATACATATAAATTCACAAAACAAACTATTGCCTTTCGAAACCACCGGAATGCATAGCGAGAAAACAGCAGACGGCAAAACGGCGTCAAATTAGCCCAATTTTTACAGCGTTGCGGGCGATGTACAACAAAGCAGAAACGACGAAGAAAATTCGGCGTCGTGGCGTCACTCTGATGGCAGATGACGCCAAACTACGTTCTATTTCGACGTGCAACCTGGCTCTCGATTCTGTTAAAAAAAGACAAGAAAAAAAATATGCTTAGTTAGTTAGTATTCGGCATTTTCTTGTGAAATTTGAAGATGCGTGGCATTTGCAATAGGAAAAAAAGAACAAGATGAAAGAAAATATCTTTAAGAACTGATTGATAATGATTAGACAGCATTTTATTAGATAGACAGAAAATTATTATTAATTGATAACAAAAGTGCAATTTTATCGTTTCAATACTAAGAATATTATAGTGATTAAGTAAAGCTTTCGGCCCTTTTTTTTGAACTAGTCATAAATGAAGCTTACAGGTCAAGTCAAATAATTAGGTATTATCTTCAAAACTAACTAGTTATTTTAGTAATTGGTCAGTAAAAACAGTCAGTCTTTACCCTTATGGGGAAAAAAAAGAGCAAAGCCTTATACGGCTTCCTGAGTATTTGATTGTGAGCTTAAATAAGGAAATATTCCAGGTTCTTTCAAGGTCTCTTTCCTTTCTTTATCTCTCTCGCTCTCTCTCTCTCGATCACTCGCTCGCTTGCTATCTCTCTCTCTCTCTCTCTCTCTCTCAAACTCTCCCATTTTATTCGTTTTCTCTTCATGTACGAAATAGTAGCTTATTTTATAATCTTAAGAGAAAGGAGAGAAAGAGAGAAAACAATAGATAGACAGACAAATAGAGATCTAGAGACATTGAAAGAAAAACTTGTCAAGAGTTCAGAATAGCTAAGATAGAAATAATAAGTAAATGTAATTAATATTCATGAACTTAAAACATCCTTATCCTCGACACATATCGACATATATTGTTTATTCTGCACAGGTAAACGTTCGTACGCGTTCGTTTGATTTTGCATGTGCAAAAAAAAAAACAGAAAAAGAAAAAGAACGCTTTTATAGACTTTAAAGAATGAAATATATATATATATATGTACAGTATATATATAATAATAATAATAATCATAATAGAAATAATAACTAGACGCTCTCTTTCTCACTAAGCTATGATGTAAATATTTAAAATTTGCTGTTTTTCACTTTGTAAAAGTATATCGACAAAGTTTGCCAACCTAAACAACAACATTTTGGAGAACAGCTGCAAAACTGTTTATTTATAGAATTAGCATTTTTGACTCTAGAAAGAATCGCGTAAAAATTTTCCGTAATTTTCTTTCCAGTCTTTGAGCAAGTTTTTCCATTCGGCATACTGCAATTTCCACTCTTTTTCCTGTTCACTAATGTTTGCTGTTTAAAGAAGAAAGATAGCTTTGTTAAAATAACATTGAATGTAATTCAACTCTTGATTAATGAATTAGTAGATGACTTCTTGAAATATACTGTAATGTATTTAAGTGTTAGTGGTATGATAAGAACTCTTCATAGGTTGTTGTTAGACCTTTTCCAGTTCAGTTTTATTTTACTATTTATGTATATATGATCAGTACTGTATACATAGCATATATCTTATATATACAATATATATGTATGATTTATATATTAATCTATCGCTCTTAAAGAGGATTAAAGTAAAGCTCGTTTTCTCTTGTTTCCTCATTTCTTCCTTATCAATAACCTAAAGATGTTTACCGAACTTTGTTTAATTACAAAACCATTATAGACAGCGTCTAATGAATTATGCTAATATTAAAAAGAACTTTAAGCGAGAAGACTCGAAGAAAGAGAGCGAGAGAGAGAGATGGAAAAGAGAGAAAGAGAGAGAGAGAGAAAAAAAAGAGACATATAAGCAAAAATATGCACACAGGAAAAAAAATGAAATTATTGAAATTCTTGTGTAATCTCTATCTTTCGTTTCCTCTTCCCTTTTCCTTTATCCTCCCCCTCCCTCTTTCTATCCAGTTATAAATATGTACAATTTATATTTTTAAAGCCGTAATTACTAAATAAAAGTACATTTTCTTAATAAATTTCTTTTTTTCACAATATAGTAGATTATTTCCCCTAAGCAACGAACCAAAAAGTGCAGCAAGTAAATTTACCATAGTAGTACAATCTGCATAATTTTCTATGAATTCTTAATTTTTCTTTATCCAAATTTCTCGCGGGAAATTCTTTTTATCATTTGTTAAAAAAAAAGAGGAACTTTTAAAGGTTCTCTCCAAGTCTTTTTGTCCTTTTCGTCTATTTTTTTCCCTTATTAATTCTTTATTATATATAATGTATAGTATGTACATAGTATATATAATTCATTAAATAAGTAATGAGAGAAGAGAAAAATGGAGGGAAAAGAATCTCTTTTAAAATAAAATACGAAAAAAAAAAGAAAAAACAATTTGCCTCTAAACAAAAAAAATTACCGGAAAAACTGCATAACGCTCTACCCTTTGATGCTCTATTTCATTTTGCCTATGGGCAATCCGCCATACTTATATACATTTAAAGGCATATAAATTAAAAACTTTTCCTCGCTCTTTACATCCCTCTCCTACAGCCGAGCCTTTTCCCGAAAGCGAAAGGAATCTTTAGATAACGCTTTTTCGATATTTTAAAGGCTCTTTTTTAAGTTACTACAAACTATATAGAAAGGTCATTGTACTATTAAAAATAAATCTGTACAACAGTAAAGATAGTTGAAAATAAAAATAAAAAACATGCCGTGTCTACAATGTTTTTTTTTTTTTTTTTTTTTGGAGTTTGCCGTAAGAACTGACGCCTTAGCTATTTTATGCTTCTCAATGCCGTAATTTACAGTTTTTGTGTAGCAATCATTTACATAAGCTTTTTCAGCAGTGGTACAGTGAAATTCCGGTAGGATTCGATGAGGTTTTACACTTGTCTGCGACTAAACTAAACGAGGTGGTGTCAGGAAACGTCCGTTGAGAATTATAAAAAATCATAAAACAAGCAGCAAACTAGAGTCCCTATTTCTTATGGTTTTTATTCTAAAGGCAATTCTTCTAATGCTATTTATCTTCTCTTTTTAATTTACGAAAAATTAACGTAGCTGTTACAAATTAAAAATTATATAGAAACATAAATAATCTGCTCTCTCTCTCTCTCACTGTCTCTTCTTTTATCTTGAATCATTCTCATTTGATTTAGACTCCATTATTTTCTTTCTTGTGTTTTTATAATAAAAAAGAAAACACTTCTCAGTTAGTAAGAAAAGGATATCTGAAACAGAAGAGGGAGAAGCAGTGGAATTAACATTAGTGAGAACAAGTGGGGAAGAAAGAGAGAGAAAGAGAGCGAGAGAGAGAGAGAGGGAGAATATCTGAAAAAGCTTCAGGCGTTGAGAGCATTTAACCATTTTGATAGAAGGTGAAAAATATAACGAATACATTTCTTACTGATCAAGATTAAAGAAATTCATGCCAAAATTTTTCCAAGTCGAAGGATAGAAAAAGGGAAAAGAGAGAAAAGATTTTCCCTTTATTATTTTTTTCCCATTGATCGAAAATCAAGCTTTTTCCATTATTTTATTCTCTTCCTTATTCATAAAATATAAAATGAGATAGTACAAAAGAAATTATTCGTTATGCCTTATTTCCGGCAATTGAAGGATAAAAAATTTTAATTCCTATCATATCTCTTATTGTCTCTACTTATCTAGTCTATAACTTCCTATGTCTTCTCTGTAACATTTATATACAGATACATACGCTTATATAATCTTTATAGATCATTTTTTTTTACAATGATATGTAAATTCTTTTCTTCTTCTCTTTCTATCATCTACTACCTTCCATCTCTTCTACCTTCTTATCCTCCCACTCATCTGCATCCTCGTACTTGAACTCTCATTTTTAAGCCTAGTACTTAAAGCCTATTATTTCTCTAGTTTGTTTTACTTACTACTAGCTAGTTAGAGATTACACGTGGACAGAGATGTATATATGTACATATAGTAGATATATACTGTAGATATATCCAGTATATATATATATATATATAATATGAAGGAAAAATTGATAAGAACGTTTGCAATATGCGACGCAGACGCAGTCAGGTCAATAGACACAAATGAATTTAACCGATCGATCTGACGAGGCCTCGCGTCGTTTTCGAGGCGTTTTTTTCTATCTCAACTGGAAAATTGGTAAAAAATTGACCTACCTGTTGACCTAATGAGGTTAGGCATGTAATCAAGCCAGAAGACGCATCTCTTAAGCCTGAGGCCTCTATACTGAGCTTTATAATATTCTTTACTTTTATTATTATCCGGTGTAAGTAAGTTCAATTCCAGGTATTGCTTTGTTTTTGCCTTATACGATGGCCATAGCTTTCCTCCTAGGCGTCTCTCATTTTTATATCTCAAATTCGGATCTCTAAAGAGGATAAAGAAAATTGTATCATTAAGTAGCGGTAATAAAAGAAACATGCATAAAAAGAAGGTAGCGCGAGTTTAACGTAGAGGTATAGACTCAGGTATGAGTGAGAATAAACTATTACAAATGAAAGACAAGAGAGGAATGAATGGGCAGAAAACACTCAAAAAGGATTAAAAGCGAAATAGAGGTTAAGAAGACGAAGAGAACAAAATACCTTTTTAAAAAAAACAGCTTCTAATTTAATTTAAAGAAAGATGGACGAAATGATAAGAGACAGTATTTGGGGAAGGAAGGGGAGGGGGGATGTTTAATAGGAAAAAGTACTTAATAATAACAAATAGATCTTTACTAAAGTAATAAAACAGTTTATAAACTCTAGACAGAGAAAACGGGAAAAATTTCCGTCAATCGCATCAATAATGCAATTAAAATCAATAACTTCACTTGCGATAACCGTTCGATTTCATCTTTTGAGGGAAAAAAAGAGGCCGGATTAATTGTTTTCATCGGCTTAAACGATATATTCCGAATATAGATAATTATACCACAGCGGACAAGGGGAATTTGTGCACTTAAAAAATTATTTGGCCTATATTCCTCAATAGAAGACATAGAAAGAGTACAGTTTATATCTGGAATTAATATAGGAATTTATTATTGATTAATATCATCTATACTATCTATCAAATTGGTTTTTCCTATTTCATACAAGTTTCTCTTCATTCCTGCTGAGATGTATGGAGTGATTGTCCTTTTAAATATTCATCGGTACTTGAAAGAATATTCGCCAGAGAATAAACCCTGATTGGCTATAAGTGGCGTCCAATTACTTTCAAACAAATTTTTAAACAAATTATCAAGTATGGCTCCCAAACGATTTAATGTGGCTACAGGTTCCTATCAAATTATCTCTTGATTCTCATCTATTTTTAATATTCTGGGAGATAGATTATTGAAAGGTGAATTCATTCAGTAATTATTTCTACTTGTCGATTCTCTTTATCGAATAATTTAACGTTTGCATGGACCGAACAGAGAAAACATGGAAAACTATAACTGAAATGAATATAGTAAAGCTGGAAAACATCGAAACGACATCGATAGCGTCGATATTCACGTTCTTGTCAATCAATTAGCGCTCTTCGAGCGGATAAGATAAGGTTCGATCGACTTCGATGATTGTGTTTTGTTCATTTGTTTATTGATCTTTGTATTTTCTAACCCTATTCTCAATTTTTTACATATTGAATATTGTTATTCCTTTTGATTCGTTTTTAAATGTCAGAGAACTAAGAAATTCCGCTAAGAGTCTCATCCTATCTTTTTTATTTATCTTGTATTCTTCCCACTCTCCCTCTCTCTATTTCCCTCTGGTTCCTTTCTCAACCCTCTTTTCTCTCAACCCCTTCTCACTGGTGCACACATACATACTTCTACACAGTTATATCTCTTTGCTGACTCTCCCTGTTCCCTTGTATATTTTATTAGTTCTATCTAAAATATACACACTATACAGTATATAAAGTATATATACATATATATTCTTGGCCTATCTAACTTTTCTCTCTCTCTCAAAACCCTCCTTTCCCGCCCTCCTCCCTTCTCTCTTCACGCATACACTTTCTATTTGTGTATATGTTCTACTTATACACTAAGTTACGAACCAGCTCAACTGTTAAAGTATACGTTTTCGTAGAAACAAACGTTTGTATAAGTTCATAGTCGTATCAAGAGGTTTACTGGTTTTTACTTTCTTCTTTCTTGATTAATCTTCGATCGGTCTCGATTTTTCTACTAGCATATCAAGCAAAGAAAAAACAGAAGAAAGAAAAGAGTGTAAGGGGTGGGGGTGGGGGGGGGGGGAAAGACATAGAGAATGAGAGACAGACAGGGGGAGGAGGGGAGGGGGCAAATGGGAATGAGAATATTGGGGAGCAAGAGAGAGAACAAATAAGTATTAATGATAAATTGTTCTATCTTAAATACAAGGCCCTTTTTCTCTCAATTACAATTATTTACCATTTACAACTTTCCTCCCCCTTCTCAACTAATTGATAGTTTTTCGAAAGAGGTAAAATTGAATGAAATAAAAAGAGTAATAGAATTAAACAACTAGTTTGCTGGTCAAATTTACTAAAAATTAGAAGAGAAATAATCAAATTTCATATTAAGGGAGTTTTTCACTTTTGCACTTGATGCATGTCTTATATTCTTTCTCTCTTTTCTCTCTTTCTGACACTCCGACTTCTTTTAACCAAAAAAATTTTAGAATCGATATTTTTTCAAAAATCTTCTATTTTTATATAGTAAAAAACAAAAAAGGGGTGTATAGAAAAAAATCAAAGGACAACGAGCAAGGCCTTGCAGTGCAAAATCCATATGATTGCAGTATAAACATATTGATAGAATTATATATGTGTATTATTAGGATAAATTCAATTGAGTGTCTGCAATTAATTGCTCTTCTGCATAGAGTGCCTTGGAATTGAGCGATATATTTTTCATCTACGCCTGGATTTTAATCAAATTGACCTCATCTTATTAAAACCCTGTTAATTACGGACTCTTTTTGCCACTTAACTAGAGTTAAGACTCTCCTTCAATGATGTAAAGTGTTTTCAACTTCCAAGACACTTTGCTCAATCGAGTTAAAAGGAGAAAAATAAAAGTAAAAAGGATAAAATGTGTATAGTATTATGCAGTTATTGGAAAACTGCAGACCGATAGAGTATTAAAAGATCTGGAAACTATTTAATAACGCTAATTAATGTAATATTCCGGTCTTAATAATTTTAAATCTTTCCTAATTGAGCATAATTGAGAAACTCCTGCGGAGACAACTAAAGCCGAAGCTCGTTTGTCCTTCTATCAGAACGTAAAAATAGCGCAATTTATTGAGGGCGATAGGTAGAGAAGAAGAGAGAAGGTGGAGGAGGAGGTGGGGGAGGAGGATGAGTAATGGAGAAAAAATAGATGAGAAATGATTAAATAGTCCTAGCAGTAGGAAATGGATAAGATTATCAGCAGAAAATGTTATTCTCTTTATTTAATTATTTTCCAATAGTTTCTCTTATCTAATTTCATTTCTACTAATTTGTGTCCGACCAAAAAGAACATTTGGTTCTAATTAATTCTTTAAGAGCTTGTCGTTTTACAAAGTTATCTTTACTTCTGCTCTTTATCATTCAAAAAATTTTTCCGATATAGATTAACCAATCAACTTTGAACATCCATTTTTATATTGGAAAATAGGAGCATTTTCATATTGATTTATTCGGGTACTCTATGTTTTTGCTATAATAAATCAATACTTTTTATCGTTTTCAGAAAAAGTAGATTAGATCATTAAGTGTGACACATTAATTAGTTTGTACCTTTCATATGTTGTACCTAAAAAATAATACCACCTCCCTCGTTTCCCTTTTATCACCAATCTCTATTGTAAATTATAGAGTACAGCTAAACATAAAGTTATACTTGATCAACTTATGTTTTCTCCTTTTTCTTGTTTAGAGTATTTATACTCTTAAAGGATAGATGAAGGGGGGGAGGAGTAGGCGTAAAGAAAACAGAGTAAAAAGAGCAGGGATGAGAAGAGAAAGACAAAGGAGGATAAAGAAACAAGAAAATAGGATACATGGAATAGCATGTATGTACAGTTTATATATATATATATATAAATTTATATATACTGTATATAAAGTATACTATATTTGTATATTTACCCTGATTTTGCAAAGTTAACCCATAATCTTCCCATTAACATAGACAAATCTCTTTCTTTTTTGCTAAATTCAAATTTCGGATACCTTTTCAATGGTTCGCCAAAAATAAATAAAATTTCATCGCCGTGCAAGGCTCCCATCCATTTTGGCCATGGATTATTATCGAATCGATGAGTGTAGTAATAATAATAAACTCGTTGGCCAGCTTTATCGTAATAATCTCCAAATTGATTGACATAACATACAAATTGATGGTCTGAAACGGCGGCATCCAAGCTCGCCAAGTTCGCCTCAGTATCGTCGTAATTGGCGTGATGAGCATATTGAAAATGAATTGCGTCTAATCCAAAGCTATTGATTCTCATTGGATATTGAGGAAAGTATTCAAACAGCTTCCTCAAACCACTTTTATAAGTAGATGAATCCATTGTAGAATAGGTCAAATTAATCCAATTGCTAAGTTCATAAATCATAAAGAAACTGGCTTCATTGGCATTTGATCCCAGAATAATTGGGCATTTCTTAAAACTTCCGTGAAAAAGCGAAGAATTAGGATGTTCGGTTAGGAAAACACCATCTATAACAGGTATAAAAGGAAATTGCATTATTCCTCTAGAAACTCCTAGCCATTGTCTTTCAATAAGATATTCATAACTTTGATTTTTTAAGCATTGTACAATATAATCTACGGGCGTATTGGAAGACTTTTTGCAACCGACCAATTTGGCGAAATGTTTCGCTCTAGCATGCGCCTGTTCTATCGTGAGGGTTGCCCAAGGCATATTGGCAGTTCCAGATTGCATAATTGCTCTATTAAACAAATTCCAGGAATGAGATGACAAAAGGTGCATGGACACCGATACAGAGCCAGCCGATTCACCGAATAACGTTACGTTCTTTGGATCTCCACCGAAAGCTGAAATGTGCTGCTGAACCCATTTAAGGGCTACTCTCTGATCAAATAAACCAACGTTAGCTGGTGTATCTTTATGAGGCAAATGCATAAAACCAAGCGCTCCTACTCTATAATTTATTGAGACGACAATAATATCCTGTTCAGCCGCTAATATCCTACCATTATAAAGAGGTAAACTAGTTGTACCACCATAAAACCCTCCACCGTATATCCAGACCATTACGCCCGCCTTTGTAAGACGTCTCCTGGGTCGTACTGGCCTCCAGATGTTCAGATAGAGGCAGTCTTCATCCATATTCGCTTTATCAGGATTCCACATATCGGATCCTGGAAAACTGCCGAATACTTCGTCCATTGTTTGAGGACATGACGCTGGAAGACGATTGGCCTTGAATGGCTTCACCCATTTATGATCCCAGGGTATGGGCATCCTGAAACGAAGATCACCCACTGGGGGTTTTGCGTATGGTATCCCGAGAAAAGCATCCACCTGCTTTCCGCCAAGGTTTTTCAGTGTATGTCGAGCACCATGAATTTTACCGAGGTTATGTAACCTAGTAAAATTTTGCGGATGAAAGGAATATAAGGGATCTAAAAGATCTTTACTATTATTATTATTAAATGCTTTATTATTAATACTATTAAACTTTTAACTTAAAAAAGTCTTCCTTACAATTTTCGACGTTTTAGTATATCTTTTCGCTTTTCATTAACTTGCCTAGTGCCTAGAATGCCAATGACGGCCTTGTGTGAGTTAAACCAGGCAGCTGGGAATCAAATAACAAAATATACTGATCTAGTGCTAGTTGCCTTGTCATGCTATACAATATTTGAATTTTCATTATATATATATAATCTTCATGCAAATTAAGTAATCATAAAGTAAAAGTTTAAACTTTTTATGTATTAACTAAAGCAAAGAAGGAAGAACATTTGTTATTCATTTTATAGAAAAAAAAGAAGAAAAAGTAAAAGAAAAAGAAAAACTTGGACAACTTTTAACCGTTTTAAATACTGTAAATTAAGAATAGAAGATGGGTTGATTTGTTTCTTTTAAATCCTTATATTTATTCCACCCACAACCTGACGGAAAAAGAACTTCGATGTTGTCTTCCCAAAGCCAAAGCGAACAAAAGCAGTAATCTTGCAGCTAAGTCACTCATGACTGATCGGATAGAGAAAATTTTCTCATTTATAATTCTCTTCTTTTTAATAATTCCGAAAGTGATATCTCCTTGATAAGATAGGCGCAAACCCAACTGAAAGTTATAACTGAATGTTTCATGCACACATGCGCCGAGATTGAGCGACGAATGAAGATCTCGGCGAGAGGGCTCGAGATCGATTCAGTCACGTGATCAACCGACTAATTGGCCTTAAAGAGGCGTCGAATCGCCTATTTTATAGACGGCAGTGCTCTGAAATCTCAAGGCGATCGAGGCGTCCGGAAGAGGATAATTATCCGCCTAATAAAACGCGCACCCTATCGGACTGCCCTTTGATAGTTCTTTAGCTGATTACGTGATTCGAATTGTTTTTTTCTGCAGTAAGATCGCTGAGGAATTGAGGATTGGAACATTTTTTTTTATCTTGTTTATTTTTTACTCTTTCTTCTTTTCATCTATCGATATAGCGCCATCTTGAGTTATTGCGTGATTAAGTTGAATTTTGAAAAATAGACGCCTTACTGCGTAAACGATTTCTGATTGTGATGGGGTGTTCATAATTAATACGAACACGCTGGTAGTGTTATGATTTTTTTCCATACCGTTATTATCAACATTAGTTTATAGTTTAATTTGTCTTTTCGTTACATATTGCGACCTTTCTTCTATCTTCTGCCAATTAGCGATGGAATTTAAAAACGGGATAATGAAAGCGATATTTTCCATAGAAAAACCCTATACAAAACAATAGATTGAGCGTCTAAAATTTTATTTTTTCTATACCTAGACGTCTAGATAAAAAATATCTTCTTCGACGGATGTTTACATAACCCCTTCTATACAATATATTCAGTATATCCTATATATCTATTATATTTATCCCATTTCCTTGATTAATACTCAAATAGGTTTGTCTAACACCTACGCAAATCTATAGGATTTGTAGTAAATTGTAAGCTCATTAAGGTCGGTAACCCTTAATTAAGCAAAATTTCCTTTATATGTAAATAGTTAGTGTTTAGAATGGTAAAGCTAGTTGAACTAAAGGGATATTTATCGTACGCCTACTTAACTATCTAACTCTACGTTAAATTAAAATATTTCTATGATAAAGTTCTTCTATCTGAAAGATTTCTTTTAATTTATTCATAAGAGAATTTCTCTTTCAATTCAACTTGAATGGATGCACTGGAGTTAATGTGTGGGAGATCTATAGAATTAGGTATACACGGTATATATATTAGTATGCAGTATATATATTCTGACATATAGTATATATATTTATGTATGTCATATGAGAATATCACGCAATAAATGAGTGTTTTCATGACTGAAGAGAATCAAGTTTTTCCTTATTATTCCATGTATTATCAGCATCCGATTCGGCTCTTAATCCTATAACTGGTGTTGATATCTTCCGTATAAAAGTCGCTTTTTTCACAAGTAAAATTACATTTTTTTCGTCTTTTTCAAAGGGAACTTTGTCTTCCTCTTAAGTATTAACTTGTGTATAGAAACAATAGAGAAAGACGCATACAGGGACAGAGCAAGCGAGAGAGAGAGAGAGGCGAAAGAACAGGATAGATAGATAGATAGATAGATAGATAATAGATAGATAGAAATAGTATGATTATTTTACAGTGTTTTATTGTTATAATTTAAAAGAGATAGCGGCTTATTGTGTTTAATTTGTCTGAATTGATGGGTAAGACGAAAAGTAGTATTTTCGGTATTTAGTGCATCTTTTCTGACCCAGGATCATTAATAGTTTGCAAACGCGCTTATATGCATTAATTAGAAAGTCGATCAAAGCTACTAAGATCAATAGGACTTTGATCTTAATGAATATTAAATCCTTTCTACAAAAAATTTGTGGACCGAAGTGTATTTGTAGGCCTAAACGATCACTGACCAGATAAATTGAATATATGAATCCAGTTTGTTGTCTTTTATTCCCCTTTTCCTCTTTATTTAAAGCCCCTAGTTCTTTTCATTTCTTTTTTTTCTTCTTGTATTGAGAACGTTATGGTACAGTTTCCATACTTGATAATAAATATTGGCATTAATTGAATATCTTTATTCTTGATTGTTTGATTTTGAACTGCTTTTCCTTTATTGTTTAAAGAAGAGAATAGAAAGTTAGAATATCTCTTTTTCTTCTATTAATAATGTAATGAGAAGTGAAGTTTTTATTATCTATTTTTCTTCTATATAGTAATAAATATATATATAAACGTTTGTTTAAAGGGTCAAATTACATTGGTATTAAAATAATTACTGTAATTTTTATTAATGTTATTGATAATAAAAGCAAGCATGGAAACTGCTGTGATCCAAATTACACTATTGAATATAATGTAAAAAAATATTCAATTATATTCGATTTCGAATGTATTTCTCCCTTATGAGGAGAATCGATAAATTGAATAGAAAGTAAGCATGAAAGAAAGAGAGATTGAGACTTATCGAGAAATGAGGTAGTTCTATTAATGTGTATAATTATCTACGGTAGATGGAGAAAGTGTTGCAAAGTTGAGGGAGTAGAAATGAGCCTAAGTTATTACTTCTTTTTAAACGAGATGGCGTTACTTAAAAGTTATCATCTGTTAACACTTTTCTTTTGATTTTTCGCTTTGCACCAACCTTAATCGACTAATGTAACTATCGCTAGTTAACCTTCAAAACCTGCAAATACTAGATAATGAATCATTTTATATTAACTATTGGCCATTCTACAAACAGTTATTTACCCTGGTACCAGGCATTGAGTTGAAGGTTACATGTTTTCGGTGTTACTAAAATAAAATTGATAAACTTAATCCTAAAATGAAAACCACAAAAAACACCAGAGGTAAAGAGGAACCTATTTATATGTATTTTCTTATATAAAATGCAAAATCAAGTCAATAAGAAGAAGAAAACTAAAAAGATTCAATAAAGAAACAGGAGAAGGGAAGAAGAGACCAAACCTCAAAGGTTGGTTTGTTTGTGTGATCTACCGTTCCTTTGAGGGGAAATATAGAGGAATTTATTAAGAGATACCATCCCTATTTAATAAGAAAAAAATATTTAGCAAACGGATGTTGGTAATTCTATTTGGTTAATTAATTATTTAAGGGCAAAAAAGAAGAAAGAATAACAAAGTCATTTTGCAACGAATAAAGCTGGAGCAGTCGAAGCAGAGAAAAAAAGTTTCACAAAACATTCAACTTAACGAAAAAGAAAACAACAAGGCCAACCAGAAAAAAAACATCAAAATAAATAAAAACTAGGTTGAAAGAATGAGAAATGACTCGTGTTTACTTAGTTTATTTGTTTATTTATAAGTAAGAGACCTTAAACATTTGGAGATAGAGTAGAGACGACACCTATCGTCTAAGTTTGAAATACTCTACTTTGAAGTATAGTTGTAGTAGTAGTTGGAGAATAAATTGCCTATGTAGAGAAAAAAATAGTATACATTATAAAAGCTAAAAATAGCAACTAACTAAAAAAAGTCCTCTATTTATAAATAAATAGAAACGAACTAAAAATATGAACTAATAACAGTATTCATGCACACATAAGCCTATACACTATTTCTATGCAGAAGGCGGTGTATATACGATGCTACACTATTACATAATTGTAGTATACAAATAGCTAAATGTACAACATTATATACAGTATATATATATATTACATACTGTATATATAAAGTTTCTAAGTATAAATTTATAGAATATTCTAACTACCGTGTCAGGAATTCATTAGCGCACTGTTTAAATTGATTCCACACAGAAAAGGAAACTGTTTTGTTCCTGGAAAACAGCTTAGATTCGAATTAATTGGCATCTATCGATTTACTTATCGATCTAAACAATCGAATGGCTAGAGGGTAGAAAATTTTCAGTATTTTGTAGAGTACTTAGTTCATTCGCTAATAAAAAACGGAAAAAGTTACTTGACTATGGAAATAAAAAAAAATGGCTAATTTGTTGATTTTTTTACAATTTAGTTTTAAACAATTTTCTTTTCTGTTTTATTCAGAAAGTAAATAAAAAGAATAAAGTCAACTTAAACAATGAAAAAGAGAAGATATATAAGTAAATCATTAGATATTGCAATATGTAGATATTGTGTCTGTGGGTGTGTGTGTGTGTGTGTGTGCGTAAGTGTATATGAATGTAGTTATGCATGTAAAAGTGTGTAGGTGTTCTTCCGTCTCATCTTTATCTCTTTTAAACAATTTTTCTCCAATGATAAATTGATTAGGTAGATGGAAAGAAAAGCGTAGAAGAATAGACTAAAAATTGCTGCTAGTATTCTACTTTGAAGAAAGATTTGGCTAAAGCTCATCTATATTGACGAAAGCATTATATATTATTTTATATATAAATATATAAATATATATATATATATGTTTATATAAATATTTTGATAGATATTTAATACATAACCTTAACAAGAAGGTAAACGAATTGTAAAGTAACTTTTGTTAATTAACACTCATTATATAATTAACAAGAAAAGTACAACAGAAAGAATATTATTGCTACAAAAAGTAATATTTTACTTCTTCTCTGTTAAGACTGAGCGTTGAATAAAGATTCTGATACTTTGTATTCTTAGCACGCTTCTCTACTGATGTTTATCAATAAACAAATGCCAATTGTTTAAAATAAATTCTTACATCTTATAAATTATATGTATATTCATAGAATAAAGAGGGATCTTGTTATCCTTTCCTCTATAGTACTATGTATATACATAGTGTATAGAAAGTTTATATTATACTCGTATTATACTTTATAATAAAGAATACTAATAAACGTAATAAATACAATTTTATAGTAAACTATAAATATATTTTCTCTCCATTTTCATAAAATACTTTCATCTTTTTTTCGGCAATAAAAATTCTTTTAGAATACTTTGGCGCTATTACTTGCTTCATTTGTTCCTTTAGGGTGCAGAAAGTTTTGCATTAAACTAACTAAAGGTTCTATTCAGTGGCTCTCTTACAGGTGAGAAAACGTTATATTTCTTTATTCTTACTGAAACGTTCATCTATTAGAAAGTTAAATATTTCTATAAAAACTTTAACTATCTGATTTTTTTCGAGGTTTCTAGTCTTCTCTCACTAATCTTTATCTAAGTTCTCTTTTTCTTTTTAGATAGAGAATACAAACACATTTGTATGATCACTAAGCGTTTCCTCGTCTATTACGCAATAGACCGTTAAATCTGCCTTTTACTGTAAAATAAAATGTTGAATTATTTATACTTTGAAGTTAAAAATTATATAACCAAAGCTACTCTTCTTTTATTTATTTTTTAACGATGACTAAATGAAAATTTTCAGCCTATTTTTCTGTTTATTTTGTTTTTTTATATTCCTTCTTCACTTTCTCCGTCTCTCTGTCTGTCAGTCTCTCTCTCCCCCCTCTCTCTCTCTCTCTTTCCCTATCTCGCTGTCTCTCTCCTTGTCATTTTTCTTCTCGTTATATAAACTAAAGGATAATCGATAATTTCTATGAAAAAAAAGAGAGAATTATTTGATATGTCTTTGTTTCTTTTCGTATAGTTTACTTATGCAGAAAAAAATGAAAGAGATGGATTGTACGCAAAATAAAAAGGAAAGATTATAATTGTATATGTGGAGGAGGACTTGTGTTAACGGAGGTGAATGTTTGCAAAGAATTGAAGGAGAAAAATCAACTTTATGCATAAATAATCCTTATAATTAATCCAAAAAGGTGTTGACTTTATTCATGTTATAAGAGTTTTTACATATATATATATGTATAGTATATGTAGAATAAAATGCTTGACTAGTAAAAAAATTTATAGCAATGATAAAATTGGCAAAATATTTCTGTTTGAAGAGAGAAGAAGGAGGAGGAAAAAGATGAAAAAGTGTCTGTTAACGAGATTATGTTCTATAGAAATTTGAGAGAGAATGCATAAAGAGTTCAATAATTTCTAATTTAGCAAAATTTGATGATGGAATTTTCTTCTACTTTTACAGTCAATTTTAATTTTACTTACTCATCTCTGACATTAGGTATCAATTTAATTCAATGTCGATCAAGTATAGCTTAGAGGTAGGTATGCTCTTGCGGAATCTAACTGTGTTTATAGGATTAATAAAAGGATGAAAACTTCCATTAATCAATCAGCTAAACTGCAGGTGTTTCTTTAATCATGATCAACTTTCCAATGCACTGCTTGGCCTGGTTTTAAACGTACCTAATTCGTTTGGTGATTGACAAATTCGTACTTGAAAAACTAGTAAGTTAGAATCTTTGATTAAAAGTGACAGTATAGCTTTTCTATTATTATTTTAATTAAAATAAATTGTATGTTGTAGATACAAGAAAAAGGAGAGAGAAAGAGGAAGAGAGTTAGAGGGAGAGAGAGAGAGATTGGAAAGAATACTAAAAGGATACTAGCCAAGTAACGTAAAGAATAAAGGAGTAAAGCAATATACTGTATATGCAATATTACTGTATATAATAGTTTGTAAAGTATATACAAATACTTGACTATATATATGTATATACAGTTTATAAATGTATTCATTTATAGTTAATAAAAGTTGTATTTATATAAGAAACATACAAAAATTGAATGAAAATATTATCTAAATATATAAAAAAATGATAAAAGGTCGTTAATTAGAGTATTTTCTATTAAAACATGTCAAAAGTATAAAAGTATAGTCTATAAAAAATGGTTATTCATTAATATTTACTATTTTCGTCACCTCAGGTTAACATTATTGGTATTTTAAATTACAAAAACTGGAATTTTGCTTATATATACATACATACACACACATATAATATATATATTTATGCATAATTGATGATGATGTAGGCGTTTTATTTGTGTCTTTACTCCTATTGTTGATAGATTTATTACCAACCTCCCTAGCTAAGATTAGCGTTCTTTCTTGTTTATTTTATAGCAGATGAGGGTTTTATAGAAGAGAGCCATAGCGTCTCTGTAAAATTATAAGCATTGTAGCATTTTTATGTTAATTTACATAATATAGAAATTTTCTGGTTCAACTCTTTGCATCTCGTCATTTTTATGGTTAACCGTCTGTTTATAAAATATTCAAATAGGTTTTAAAACAACTTATTGTACTGTAATGCTCGTTCTGTTTAAGTAATTACATTAAATTAATTATTGAGATATAGAAAAGTTGATATGTTATAGTGTAATTCATCTGACATAAGTTAATTGACTAAAATTCAAATGCTAATTTAATTACAAAACATACTCATACAAATAGTAGTAATTAGACATAGTTTACGTTTCTTTCCCTGCTCTCTTTCCCTCTCTCTCTCTCTCTCTCTCTCTCTGTCTGTCTGTCTCTATTTTTTTTATCATTATTGCTTCCCTCCCACTCTTTCATTGGCTCTCTTAATCTCTCTACCTCTCTTTTCTTTTTACTTTCTAATTTTTTCTCTTTCTATTTGTCTCTCACTCTCGTTCAATTTTCTCTCTATTCTTCTCATTTGTGTAAATGTATTTTCTACATATACATTTAATTAAAAATTTAAATGTATTGATATTTTGTAGATAAAGATATTTAGTTGTCCAATTAAACGTGGTTTTAATAATTAGTACAGAGATTTTAATAACGACTGATAATTAGTGAAAAATAGTTTTACGGTCTTTTGTTATAAAGATAAAGAAATAACAACGTCTGGTAAACTAATAAGACTGAAATGTATTCTACAATATAATGAATAATAGATTTATTCAGAGTATGATATATATATATATATATAAATATATGGAATTTATATATATCTTATATATATATTTTTTATAGATTACTTCTTTTGTCCTTTGAAATTTATTTTGTAGAACCTTATAGCTGAAAATCAAAGTAATTAGAGAAGGGAATTGACTTCTTATTTCATAGGATTATATGCAAAATCAAAGGTTTAGTTCGCGTTTTCATAAGCAGAAATGAACTCTTTCCAGTCAGAAATACTAGCCCACCAAATATAGATTTTCCAATAACGGACTTTATCAAGTTCGGCATGACAAACTGGATAGATTCCAAGTGTTTCCTTGTCGAAAATAGTTAAACAAAATACATTAAATGAGTTCTGAGAGATTGTAGAAGAGTAAAAGAGTTTGCTCAACTTTGCTTGGTGTACAAAACTGGAAAATATGTAAGATTGAATATAAATGTAATGAGTGAAGAGGTACAGTTAAAGGGGTTGAAACAATCTAAAAGAACCAAATTAGTGAGGTAACCTTGATAGATTAAACTGTCAACCAAGTCTCGCGGTGCATCTGGTATGCAATCCTGGTGTCGGCGAATCGTAAGCCTCGTTTGTAAACATAATATTGACGAAATGTATTTTTAACGTCAAATTCTGCGACTGTTAAAAAGTCGATGTTGTGTGAACGAAAATGATAGAAAAAATATTGTCTTTGAGTTATAAAGGAAGGAATTAGAAGCATTTTATCCGTTTAAGTACTTTAACGAATGCACTGCGTTAAGGGGAGAGAATATTCTATTTATAAAGTGAGCTCTATAGTATATTTGACCTCAAAGTCTAGCAACTCATTCTTCCGCTGCCAAACATTGATAATCATTGGGTGATCTCTGCTAATCCGATTAGCACCCTTCAATATAGTATTGTTTGTAAAGGATTAAGCTTATTAGCGTTGGATAGCATATTTTCTACCAGCGTTTGATGGTCTAAATGGGTTGCTGAGTAAAGAATGTAATTTTTATGAAAGAGACTTTATTGTGTAACGTTTGGCGTAAAAGAAAACTCTTAAAGAGCTTCATAAATCAGAAAATCCCCAACAACTTTATCCTTTTATCTTCGCAAAAAAAAACTGTCTCTTCAACGAAAGATAATTACCTGTCTTTTCTTATCTTGATTAATTTCGTTAATTTCTTTAGAATTCATGACTATCAACACGTTAAAATATCATGAATCTTTGTAAAGAATGTAACATAAATTACTAAAAGACAATTGACATTTTTCCTGAAATGAACAGTTTAAGTAATTAAATTGAAAGCCTGATGTCAACATTATTTTTTTATTATTAATACTTAAAGTATGTTTTTTTTTCATGTAAAATAGGATAAAAGTAACATTTTTATATAATATTATAGGTTTTAGAACATAAATATAGTCATATATTTACTGCATATATACACTTTACAGTATATATTTCATTTTTCTTAGATATCTAATAGACTGCACGTTATAAGCAATATGATACATACACACACATACACGCGTATATATGAACATTCTTAGTGCATATACAGCAAATATATATATACAGTATATAAGTATTTCAAGTATATCATGTACAACATATATATATATTCGTGCAATGAACAAGGCAATTACGCTTCATCAGCATTTTTTTCTACTCATTCACAACTCCAGTAATAAATTATTCCTCCTAGGTGTCGCTACCTTCAACCAACCAACACTTGGCTCAAAACTATACGAATGATAACATTAAACAATTGCATCGTTCTGGATTGGCAAAACGATAGTAATTCAACCATTGATGCTTACGAAGATTCTCCTCCTACTTATCCAGCGTCGCTTTTATGCTTATTTTTAATTTCCGGCGTTATTGGAAATGTCTTAGTATGCCTGGCCGTTATCCGGGAAAAGAAGTTACATAACGTCACCAATTACTTCCTCATGTCCTTAGCAGTGGCGGATTTATTGGTCTCTTTATTAGTAATGCCAATAGCCATCGTTACAGTTATAAAAGGTAAAGAAAGTCATATTTTCACTACTTAATAAACTCAAGATGAAGTCTAGATAAAATAAATGTATGCTATAAATAAATATAAAAGTAAAACTACAGGCCGTAAAGTACTTCAAGATGTAAATATTCGTTACTTTCTTGAACAGGCTACTAATGAAGAAAAGCGTAAAAAGTATTATATTGTAACCTTGAAATGAATATTTTTTTTACCAACACTACGTTTATTAGCAGCAGCCTTCAGACTCTTAATTAAATCATATTCGCTATTCAATACTGTAAATGTAACTAGCTGCAATTCGCTGGATATAAAAGTCATTTAAAAGCTAATTTTTTACTTAAATTTCTAACAAAAACAAAAATTATAAGAAGCTAAAAAAGAAACGAAACTTGAAATCAAAGTATACTCAAGTTTAAACTGATTAACTTAATAACTTCATATCAGATTTACAGAATAATAATAAAGATACTAAATGAATCTCTCAAAACTCTGTTCTCGTTTTAGGATCAACTAAAATAGGTTTACAAGATAAATATTCATTAAATTAACAATAACAACGAAATCCAGAATAAGATGAAGAAAACAACAGTAGAAGTAAAATTTGCTTTACGTATCACATACAAGCTAATTGAAGTAATTTAAATGTCAGGATATCAGCCACTCGGTGATTTAAGACAAACTATGTAGAACGTACTCCTTCTAAGATCTATTGAAAGTTGAATTTCATTACAAGAATTATCGAATGGCCAACTTGGCTCCCATCTCTTTAAATTATGTTTTACGCCTTATTAGATAGTTGTATATTTGAATCAACGAACGCAAGTAGTTAGAAGAAACGTTTCAAATATATACACAGTATCTTATACTATACTATGAGCTCTTCAGTTTTTCTTTTATAAAGAAATTATAATGTAGTATCCGTTTCAAATTGAGCGAGATGTCACTCCTAAATAACATATCGTGTTACCTTTCTTGAATTGAATGGAATTGCGTGAGGAATAAATTTTGAAGAAGGGATTAAAAGTAAGGAAAGAAAGAAGAAATCAATTTTGTACCCTGATTTTCTTTCCCTTAAAAGATTTAGCAGAAAAAAAATAGGAGAAAAATATTCTTCCTTCACCTTTTCTTTTCCTATTTACCTTCCCTCCCTGCCTCCCTGCCTCCCCTCCCATTAGTCCTCTCTTCTCTTCATTTTCTTTTTTGTATTTATATCAATACTTAGGGTAGTATTTAATCAGAATATTTTAATTAAAGTAAAGAAAGGTTGACTTTCAAAAGGTAATTAACCTCTTTTTTAAGTTTTATAAAATTCAAATAAGGGAAAGGTTACAGCTTTCATAGATTTGTTGAGTGTTTTTTTCTCTTCATTGCGTAAAATAAGATTATATATTAGGGAAAGAATCAAGAGGGTAACGGAATATAATAAAGAATAGAGAATATTATAGAAAACTATATCCAGATTCGTTTTTTCCAATATCTGTAAAGAGAAATTTGATACATAACTGTCTAGTTTATTCTTAGGCAATAATTTCTCAACTAATTGTCGGTTTTCGGCTTAGAAACTATTAAGATTTTGTCTATTGTTGGAGAAGAGTACATAGTAAAATAGTATATATATATAGAAACAGTACATCGCCTATAAAGTACATATACTGTCAAAATTAATGTATTCTAGTACTCGTAAATTCTTTCCGCTAAGAAAAGAAAACACAATTTGCTTATTTTTTCGTCTAAATATATATACTTTGATAGAAACTTACGACATAGAAAGCCTTAAATAAATAAGGAGAAAAATTATTTATAATTATTAGTAATAGAAAAAAGAAATATATTTTTAAGAATATCCGGCTCATTTAAGACTAAATCAGAGATCGCAATGAGGTTATAACGGAAAATGTATTGAAATGAAAGAGGAAGAGTCTGTAATTTAAAGAGTAAATTCTTCTAGATTAACGTTTATTATGTATACTAATGATTTTTACTTAAGTTAAATACTCCTTTCTCTCTCCCCCCTCATTCCTCCTTCCTCTCCCATGCTCTCCTATTTTTTCTCTCTCTCTTTCTCTTTCTCTCGCTTCTTCTCCCTCATTTTTTTAAAGTAAATTACTTTTGTTAGCATTTAAAAGAATAATAATTAAGGTAAGGTAAATAAGCTAAACGAAAAAAGAAAAGTTAAAAGGCCACTCTTGAGAAAAGTCTTTTTTATGATTCTTTCTCGTCCTCTACCTCACCTTAAATTCATATCCCGTCCTTTCTCTCTCTCTCTCTCTCTCTCTCTCTCTCTCCGTGTATACTAATTTATATCTAAAGTTGCTATTCATTTTTTTTTAATTAACTTTATGATAAAAAGTTTATTATTTTTCAACAGTCTTGGATTTAAGCATATGTTTGTGTGCTCTGTGTGCAGCCCATATGCTTTGTTCTTTTTTCTATCATTTTTCTATATTTTTCCTCCTTTTCTACTTTCCTGCTTAATATCTATTCTCTCGCTTCTCTCATCAGCCAAACAACTTTAAAATCTAGTTCATTTTCTTTTTCCAGTATTAATATTTAAGCATCCCCCCTCCCTTCCTTTCAACTTTAATTATTTTCGTCTAAATCTTCTCTCTACTTCTCCTTCTCCGACTTCTTCTCCTCCGTCTTCTCCTTATCTTCCTTCGCCTTCTTCCTCTATTCATCCTACACACCTTACTCGTCGTACTCATGATATAAAAAAGACATGGTTGTTAACGCTAATTTCAATTTAATTGGAAATGACAATGTCAATATCTCAGAATAAAGAGAGACGTAAATGAGATGTCTGTCTACCCTGTTATTTTATTTTATCTTTACGCTTTAAAGAGAAAAATAGAGATAGAGACAGATATGTAGAGAGAGAGAGAGAGAGAGAGAGAGGGAGAGAGGGAGAGCAGTATCTATGTCTAAATATACATTTTCCTCTGATTTATTTAAGTAAAGTAAAAGTTTTAATTTAGTTAAATGAATTGAATTTCTACATTATTATAATATAAAAAAAAGTGTCATTAAGTGAAATTCGATATTTTGTATTTATTTTTGTTACAGTTTTCGGTTAGAGATGACTTTTTAAGTATAAAACTTAGAATTCTATTTTATTCCTTTTTCACTTATTACAATGAAATATAACTAGACATTTTTTTTAAATAAAAAGACTTCTATATATATTTTTTAATATTATATTTAGAATTATATTCTATTTCTAGTCTAGAGGCAAATCAGAAGAAATCAAATATGATTTGAAGAGAAATTAGGATTATTATTTTCTTTATTGTTTTCATTCACCTTTTTTTCATTAAAGCTTCTTTAGTACATTTATATATTTCTATGTCCTTCGGAGATTTCTCTACTTTAAAAGAAATGACGAACTTTTAGATGAATGTTGAATAAAAAGTTATAAGCTTTATTCATTTTTTTGATTCTATTAAAGATACTAATGTTGATAATATCTTATAAAAAATATGAAAATATAATGACAATATATAAATTGATCTCTTCAAATATCGATATTCTTTTAATTATTGTCATTTGCGTGATTGACAGTTCATCTACAATAAATCAATTTTCAATGATAAAGGCAAATTACTTTTTGCTAGGCGGGACAGCAACAACTTGCGCTCTCTGCGGTCTATTGTTATTTCACTTTCAAATTAGTCTCTCTAATAAACTGCTGATCTCCCTCATGCAGGCATAAATCAAACTTAATTTGCTACTTTACTATCGGTTAGGCTTAAGTCTGATAAATACTTCATGAATATTTATAAGTTCTTAGGAAAACGATATTCCCACTGTAATTCGTCTTTGCGCTTTGCTGTTCTGATTGCTGTCGATCTAAATAGGCGCAAAAATACTCGTACATATTTCTATTGACTTTCCCAAGTGATATCTTGTTTTTTTGTCTTCTGTTTTTCTTTTTCCTTCTATTTTTTTGAAAGTTTGTATAAGAAATATAGAAAGGAAATTGCCACTAAACGGCTTGTATTAATTTAATTGATTATTAAATTAGGTGTTTTCGCTATATTTACAGCTGTTTACGTGGTTACAGAGCTAAAAAAAAAGATCTTATATAGAAACAATGTAATGCTTTTCCTTTTACTTTGTTTTTTCGTTCAAGTAAAAATCTTTTAGTTAAAAATCAATCAATGAAAATCAATAAACAAGTCTTTATAGATGTTGAAATAGCTTCTGTCAATCGCTGATTCAAAAGTCTTTAAGTATATTGGGAATAAATCAATTAACTAATTATTAGAGTAGTGAAAAGATTAAAGGAACATCATAGAAATCAAAGAGTTATTTCATTATCTGAAGGGAATGGATCATAGAGGAAGAAAAAGAGATTTTCTAAGGCAATTTTTTTCAATGAATTATATAGGTTACGTAAAATGAGAAAAATGTACGCACTCGCTAAAACAAGTGTTATCCTTTCCTAAATTTGTTATTTTGTACTCTTTGCCATTCTCTTATTCATCTATGTATTCATTTATTCCTTTTTTCCTCTCTCTCTCTCTCTTTCTCTCTTTCTCTCCTTCTTTTTCTTTTCGAAAAGAATAGCTGTCTATTTTTTAAAATGATTAAGTATTATCTATGGATAATTAATGATATAGTTAATTATATAAATTGTTTTAATTGGCTGTTCAAACGGGTTAGAGGAGACAAAACAACATTTGTAATAAAGATGTAAATTTTACAAAGATTTACACAAATGAATATTTAAATGTTAATTATAAAAATATTTCAGGATATTGGCCTTTTGGTTTCGAATTATGTGCTTTCTGGCAAGCTTCTGACGTAATGTTATGTACAGCTTCGATTATGCACATGTGTATCATCTCGTTAGACAGATATATTGGAATTCGCCATCCTCTACTAGCTGCGAGGCATAAGAGGAGAAATGCCGTTGCTTTCAAAATTATTATAGCTTGGATGTCGGCTATACTCATTAGTTCACCAATTCTAATTTTGGGATTTCTCGACTCATCATACGTTTTACGCAATTCTCAATGCGGAATATTTAATTCAAATTTCTTAATATACGGATCATTAGCCGCTTTCTTCATTCCTCTCGTTATTATGCTTATAAGCTACGGTCTTACTGTTCACGTACTGGAAAGTCATAAAGTCAAGGTTAGTAGTAGATCGAGGAGATCCTGTAGTAGGCAACAGTCAGTTAACGGAGATAGGCGAACGCTTTTACAGGATCAAACGCGGCGCCAAACGCCGCGACTTCAAAAGCTAGTCAAAAAGCATCAAGTTGCGTTGAAAGCGGCTTCTTTATTATTACAAAAATCCAATGAGAAAAGAACTATGGCGACAGTCAGAACGGAGCAGAAAGCTATCCGAGTTTTGGGAATAATTGTCGCCCTCTTCATCGCGTGCTGGGCGCCCTTTTTTACTTTAAACATTGTCTTGGGGGCGTGCAAAAGTTGTACTCCACCCCATCGGTCCGTATTGGAAGCTTTTCTCTGGCTAGGATATACGTCATCAACACTCAATCCACTCGTTTATACTCTCTTTAATAGGACTTTTAGAAAGACTTTTTTACAGATTTTAAGGTGCAAGCATAGTTCGAAAAAGAATAGCTCACTTTCACAAACAACCGCACTACTAGCTGCTAATACTTTAAGATTGCGAGCTATGGTACCCAGGGCCAAACGATATCAAGAACATGCAGAGGTTAATTGTTGAATTTTCTTCTTCTCTTTTGTTATTTTATTTTAAACAAAAAAAAGATGAAATTTTAATCGGAAGATAAAAAAGATTTTTTTATTTTTTTTTAAAAAAAAAACCAACAACAGCAAAAATGGAAAAAATATTCAAAATTAAAATAATACAATATATTTTCATAGAGAAAGTGAAAAAATATAGAAATTGATATAGTTCGTTTAATTAACTCGCTTAATTAGGCATATAATTAGTTTTAACTTTCAAGGTTATTAGTACGTTCTTTTAAATATTTCGTGCTGGCAAAATTAAATCATATATACAATGGGCGTTGTACTTCCCCTCGAGTTTATTGTATTTACTATAAACCTTTAAGTATCATTTCTAGTTTCGAACTGATTTCTCTTTATGTTATTATTCTCTCTCTCTCTCTCTGCCTTCCTCCCTCCCTCCCTCCCTCCTTTTTCCTCTTTCTATCTTTCAAAATCAACTACTTATCGTGGGTCTTTTTTATTAAAGGTTCTTCTCCCAATCGTCTTTACCCTATATGTAAAGCCTTTAATTGAATCATAGATCAATTTTAAGCCCCGTATAAACTCACCCTTATTATATTTATGGACAAAGGAAGCTTGAGAAAATAGAATAAAATAGCTCACATATTCAACGCCTTTTCCAATTCTACTTAACCCTTCTCCTTCATCACCTTATCCACCTTCTTCCACATTTCCTTCTTATTTTATGTTTCTATTATACTTCAAATGTTTTAGCCTGTTCGATTTTTCAATTTCTGTTATATAGTACAATGGTTTCTAAAGGGAAAAAGAACTTCTAGCGTCTAAAGGTTGTTGTAGTTTTTTTTTGTTCATTAAGACGTTAAGACTTATCTTATGAAATAAGATATAAAAAGTAATTTTCCTACAAGCTCGGCTAATTTTCTTAAAGATGTTTATATATGTAGATATCTGAAAAATTGATACTATTTCATTTTTTTATCAATAATCTAAGATGTTTTATATAAACTGTAATATATACAGTTGTTATTTTAACTTTTTTTTCGATCTAAAGACAAGTAGTAGATCTTATTATCCTCTCTCTCTCTCTCTCTCTCTTTTCTATACTACCTATCCATCTTATATTTCACTATAAGAAAAAACAAAGATAATTTTTATTGAACATAAGAAATAAATTACCAACAACAACGTTGATAAAAAAATATATATAAGAGTTTCAAACATTTATATTACTGCTGTGTCTGTCGATTATTATATCCTGCTTAATAGATATTACATAGCACTTAAAAACATTAGAGGTATTTGCATATTGAATCCGGTGAGATATGTATTCCATTTACAATAACCACTGAAAAACTCGTTTTTGGATAGGAAAAAAAATAGACAATTTCTCTTTTTTTTCTTTTTATACAGTATAAATGCCGTTGATATATATTTGTTGTTTTCCTCTTTCGGTTGTTTCTTACGTAACTTCCGTCATTATTCTTCTCTTTTTATATTCTACCATTGAATAGGCCATTGTCAAGTTCATATTTGTATGCTCTCATACAAACTTATAGTGAGTATAAAAGTGATTTTATCGTCTCCTCATCCTCTTTTCGTTGATATTCTCATTGAAGGGAAGAAAATGGGGTATTAACTTACCTTCTCTAAAATAGGATTTACTCATATTTTTTATTAAAGTTGTATTAAATTTTCTTTCTTTTGTTGCTCTGAGATTGCGGTTGAAAAACATAGTTTTGTATACCAACTTCCTGAGAAAGAGATAAAGACAGAGAGACAGAGAGAGAGGAAAAGAAATAAGAATCTAATATAATTTTCTTCCATTAGAGTAATTAATAAAGACGAATTAATACGAGAATCGTACAAAATTAATTATTCTAATTTGACTATCAACTTATTATTCTATTACTTCAATCTGTATAAAATATACAAATAAACTGTTTATTAAAGGAATTTCTATATAATACAGGTAAGAGTATACTGTATATATTTATCCAACAATGCCGTATAATTGTATACCTACTGTGAAATGAGTAGTTTAAGAATAAATAACTATTGGTTTCCAACTTAAATTTCTCACTTACCGCCAATTTACTTAATAGTCTTATTAAAGAGTATTTATAAGAAATTATCGGAAGTGAGAAAACCAATTCTCTGTCTATAACGATACAGGTAACATATATTGTATACCTTATAGAGAAAGAAGGAATATAAATATCAAATATGACGTATTAGTATTAATATGTATATCTCATCTATACTGTATGTAGTATATAAATATAAATTTTGTATATCACTATCAATAAAGGAAGAGAACTTGTGAATTATGAGATAGTACAAATGATAAATAAACAGTAACGTTCTTTTAATATTTCATAGCATTTTAAATAATAAAAAAGGTATAACTATAGTTTTTGCTTTCTTAGCAATTCCTATAATTCACTTATTCCTATTGCATGCTTTTAAAGGATTCATTTACAGAATCATGGTATTTCGAGCTAAAGTATAAATAGAAAATCACGATTTTACCTTCACTAGGCTTCATTTGAATTTTATTTTAACACATGATTTGGAAATCTCCAGATGTTACTAAAACTTATAGAAAGTATATAAAGGATGCAATATATATATATATATATATATACTGTACATGAGCTTAATCGAAGACTACTACTGTAATCTATTTCCAAGTTTTATTGCACTATCCTTAAAAGATGTCATTTTGACTAAGTAAATGATTAATTCGATAGCTTTTTTTAACCTTAATTAAAGATAGAAAATAATTCTTTGTTGTTGGCTTTAAAAAAAAGAATATTTTATTTTCGTCAAGTCTCATTTGTACTAAAAGATACTCTATTACATTCACACTATAAATATATATGCATATATACCTTTATTTCGAGATCTTATCCTTCATCTTCCCTTCCCCCACACACAAACACACACACATACATACAAACTCTCTCTCTCTCTCTCTCTCTATCTATCTCTCCTGCCCCTGGCTCTTCCCCACCTTCTTTTCTACTTCGTTTTTGGCCATCTACCCATCTCATTCACTTCTCTTATTTTTAAAAGCTCTGTCTTGAGAAAAATAAATAATTTTTTCCTTTAAGGCGATAATACTCTTTAGCTATGCGAATAAAATGTCCAACTAATCCGTTTACTTGTAAGTAACAACAATTTCTAATCTCTCTTCATTCGCAGTTGGAATGTCGAAGGGTCTGATATAATGTACGCTATTATTGCGTCTATTTATTTATTAACGCCCTTTACGCATTGAGAATTTATTCCATTTCCTTATATTTCTTTCTCTTTCTCGTCTTACAGAAAAGAAATTTTTATTTGCATACAAAGAGCTTATTATAATTAAGCAATTAAATGGAATTACCAACTATAAAAAGCATCTACTTATTATCTAAAATAAGACAAGTACTATTAGTAGACATTAAATAACGATCGTTTTGATTCTTTGTATTTTATCCTAAAATTTTCTATAAATAGTAAATTAGACAGGCAGACAGACAGATAGAGGGTTTTGGAGGGAAAGGAGAGAGAGAGTGTGTGTGTATGAGAGAGAGAGAGAGAGAGAGGAGTGTGAGGTAGAAGAGGAGGATGAATGAAAAGAGATATCTAACGAAACATCCTGGAAGAGAACAAAGCTAGGACAAAGAGTTTTATTTGAAGAAAATCACGTCTTAGAGGGGAAAATGGCAGATTATAAACAATAGCACAATAGAATTAGCGAGAGGAAATAGTCCATGGGCCAAAGAAATTTTCACTAGTTTTCTCTTCTTTTTTGGTAAAATTTAAAATAGTTGAGAGAATATAGCATCTTTTAAAAGTTTCACGTACGTCGCCTTTAATTACGTTGGTTGGGAGTCGCAGGGAAACCTCCTTTTTGCTTAACAGTAAGGCTTTCGCAGCTTGTAAGCTAAAACATTAACCATAACAGCTGTAAAGGTTAGAGGAATTCTGGGAAAGAGTGAAAATACTGTATTCATTTGTATACAAATCCTAATGAATAGGAAATTGAAAAAACATTTCCAAAAACCGCAAAATAGTTTTAATCAATCGCACTGTCGCGTCACGCCGATAAGTCTTTTAGCCTTGACAATCGAACTGTTTGGTAATATTATTCATAAAGGATCGAGTTCGATTTGCACCTCAATTTTCTCTCTTTCAGCCTCTCAACTACTAAAACTACGACGTCGTTGGTCTTACAAAGATTTTTACCCTTTCTCCCCCCTCTCTCCTATTCTATTCCACCTCCCACTACCGCCCCCATTACAATCTTATGCTTTTTAGATGAAAAAAGACTCGTCGAATACAATGCGTTTTATCCTCGCGAGCCAATCGAAAGGGGCGAAATGTTATCCTTCTTAAGAAAAATTGTTTGGTTTAAATATTGCAAGACAATTTTCCTTACTTTCTCTTCACGCCAACCTTTACTAATCAAATTTAGCTTTTTAATATACGAAAGAGACGCTATTTCTAATCAGAACATTTTATTATTGTATCCTCTTACCCTAGCTGAAGGTGTACTCTATAATATTTCTTAATGATGACAATGCCCCTTTAAACCCCATTAATCCCTGCGCATGACTGGGCTAATTGTTGCGCGCAATCCATCATTTGAATCTTAATAATAATTTGCCTATTTTTTCAATGCTTTTTATGTCTTTGTATGTTTTAATTATCTTTAAAGTTGAGTAACGCAGCAAAAGATTGTGAGAGAGAGAGAGAGAGAGAGAGAGAGAAGGGTGGGGGGAGGGGGGAGAGGGAGGGATAGTGACGATATTTTTTGTATATGTGTGACCTTAATCCTCTTATATATATATTTCGTACGGAAATATCATCAAAAAAAATCTGGTAACATTTTATTTCTTATAAATGACTTAGAAGGAAACGTGTTGATTTGTTTATTTATCCGGAAGGTAGAAAATGCACTTTAAAACCTAAATTTCTTAAGAATTAAGTTACTTTAGAGGGTAAAAATTTCATTTTTTGTTCCTGTTTCTTTTTTTTTATTTAAAAAAGCAACAAAAAACTTTATTTTATTTTTATTTTATATTTATTTTTTAGACTAAAAGAATAGAGAAAAAAAATTCAATATAATTCGATTATTTCTTTAAAGCAGCTGCCCTAAATA